TCGAATACGAACTCGAACTCAATGCAAGTGTATGGGGGTCGAATCTTCGACCCTCATACAGTTGCCGGTACATGTGATAAATATTGTGTACTGCCCCCTTACCTGCGCTGCTGTAACGGCCTCCGGTCCCCTGGTCCGTCCGCTCGCTGTCCCGACCTCCTGGTCCGTCCGCTCGCTGTCCCGGCGGTCCGTCGGCTTCTCTTCGGTCCAGCCGCGGCTCCTCTGCCCCGCCCCCCTGCCTCCACTTCGTCTGCAGGTTGGGATTGGATATTGTAAAATGCAATAGCCAATAGCAAGCTGGCTATTGCACCCGCCCACATGGGGGGACCTGATAAAGAACTTTCTCCTTCTCCTTCAGGCCCCTCCTCCGCTGAGCCCTGATTGGGCAAAGTCTTGCACCTGACCTGTGGTCAGGTGCAAGACTTTAACAAATCAGAGCTTTAGTGGGCATTTTGTATTATGGAATGTATGCGGTCGAACAGACCGCGAACATCCCATAAAGTTCGGCGCTCGGCGAGCACTCGAACTGCCGATGTTCGATTCGAACTCATGTTCGAATCGAACACTCAGCCCATCCTTAGTGGTGAATGAAGAGTCAAGACAAGAGTTTATGGCCAGTAAGAGCTGTGCTAGTTGATAACATTTATTACACCTATTTTTTATCTGTTGATTCTGCAGTGGACACAGTCCAGTTAGGACCTTTGTTCTTTGCACATCTTATACACATTTTGTGTTGTGCTTTTATAAAAAGGTATGGCTTCTTGGCATATGGAAGTGCATTCTACCTTCTGTACCCTGAAATATCGCTATGTTGCTTGTTTTATGTTTTCAGTAAACAAAGATCTTCATATAATACTGACCACACAATCAACCTCTATGAAGTAGTAAGGGATTATTTTTTTTATTTTTTTTACAGCTAGGGGAAACATTCACCTCTGATTATATTTTAACCACTGTACTAACACATTGATCCAAAAAACTCCTCTTCTCTGATTTAAACTCTGATAAATAGACCCAGCCAACCAGCTTCCTCTGTACTTTAAACAAATCTTAGTCAACATGAAACTAAAAAAACCCACTAAATCTTTTACACATCACAGAAGGGACTATGAATCAACATGGTGCAATCCATTGAAGCATGCTTTCAGAATTAAAATGTATAGCTGTCCCCTGCAAAATCTTGTGTGGAAAATTATCTTTTCATACAGACACAAAAGAATCCACAATTAAAATAACATCAGAAAAAGGTCACACAGTACTGACAGTTTCTGATCTTCTCTTCATACAAAAATGTGAGGATATCTATTCATGGAACATTTTGTTTAAACAGTGTGATAAATGTGAGCATCATTGGTGAAAACTGGTGTGGTGCCTTTGAGAAATAAAAGCCACTTGTTTGCATTGGAAGTGCTTGCTATCACTTTTCAAATACCTATATCTCTGATACATTTTTATATAATCGCCAAAGTAGGTATAGAGGCACTTATGCCACAGAACAAAAGCAGTTTGCAACTCTATACTGCAAGATGATCCTACCTAACAGAGGATGTAGAAACGTAGCATTACCTTACGTATGGTTCAGATAATATTCTCTTCCATTAACAGGCAATATTTGTTTAAATTATACAACTTGAACTTGTAATCAATTTCATTGAATAAAATTGAAGGACACAACATGGGATATGTTTGTTGTGGTTTCTTCAATCAGTCCTGTAATCAGTCCCTTATCAGGGACATGTTTTTCTTATTTCAGGTAAACAGAGTTACAGAAGAGTAACAGAATTCAAGTGCCCTGCATTTGAAGAATATGAATAAATGAATGTAATGAGGTATCCCTCTATTTTTCTAGAGGTCAATAAATATTGCTGCACTTTATCTCTAATAATAGCATTGCACAACCTCAAAGGCTTTAACTATGACATTAAGCACATTATGGGACATATTTATAAAGAACTGAAGGTGACTTTTACCAAACCTTCACTGGTGCTTAATCAATCACTGTCATTTAAAACATGCAACTGGAAGATTTACCTGGAGTGAATGTTAGATTCCCTGCTTTATAAATATATCCCTATGTATTATTAATCTGACACATTCACCTCACAGAGTGGAAGCCCTTTTTGATGATCAGGACATTTTCTATCTAGAAAGACCATATGCTCATAATAATTAAATTATTTACAATATAGTTTTTAATATACAGGTGAAACTCGAATAATTAGAATATCGTGCAAAAGTAATTGCAGTAATTGCTGCAAAAGGGGCCCAAACCAAGTACTGAGTACATATGCATGCCTGTACTTTTCAGAGGTCCGATATTGTTCTATGTACAATCCTTGTTTTATTGATTGCATGTAATAATCTACTTTTTTGAGGTTGTGGATTTGGGGTTCTTGGGGTTTTCATGAGCTATAAGCCATAATCATCACAATTATGACAAATCACGGCTTGAATTATCTTGCTTTGCATGTAATGAGTCTATCTCATATATTAGTTTCACCTTTTAAGTTGCATTAGTGAAATAAATGAACTTTGCACGATATTCTAATTATTCGAGTTTCACCTGTATGTAAGAAATAAAGAGTGGTAACACCTAGAAGAAGCTTGCAAGCAAAAAGGTAAGAAAAGAAATCAAGCAAGATGAGGAGAAATCAGTTAAAAAGGTGATTAAAGGCACGTATTAAAGGCATGTATGCGATTGTTGCATACTAATCAACTATTCAACAATCTGAGCCCTTTTCTAATGGTGGTGTGCCTCGTGATTTTTTTCATGAAAAAAGTGTGCCTTTGCACAAAAAAGGTTGAAAAACACTGCTCTAAGGACACTATACAGAGTTGAAATTGTCACCAAGGTCTATCCTGTTGACAAGTTCAAAATGAGGAAGCATGACATTTGCAAGCAGCCTGTCCAACCTGTTGCAAACCAACTACAAAAAGATATTTGATTAAAAATGTCTCAATCATTTTTAGACAATTGGAGTATCAGTATTCAAAACCCCAATAAAGAACTATAGCTTGTAACTGACATAAATAACAAGTCTAGACCACCTATAGTCAGGAAAAATTAATAAATGTCTTTCAAAACCATCTATTACTTTGAGCTTATTTACGTGTTCTTATACAGATTTTTTTTTTTAAACGATGCTAAAAAAGCTAATACGTGTCTGTGTTCCTTTTTAGGAGATTGTGAAGTAGTTTTTTTTTATCAAATGTTCTGGATTTTTAAATGAAGGATGTATAAGACAGGAAAAAAAGCAAGTGAGCAAGTTGACATATGTTATTACCCCATGAGAAAGCCAAAGATAGAGGCAAAATGTCTTGGGGAAGAAAATCTACTAGTTTCTTCATTAAAGGTAGCTGATACCTCAGTCCTTTGCAAGATATAAATGGACATTTAATATGGAGAAAGAGACTTGTATCAACAGTAAGCTTGTCGCTTAACAAAGAGCTAATTTTGTGAGTTCGCATTTCAAAGGTGTGGATGTAAGCAACAATACAAGATATATTTTCTTATGTCAAGTTCTAAATTCACGTGAACACAGTCCCAGAATTCTCCTCTCTAGGTCCCCATATAGGCCCGCTGCTCCATGACAGATGCCAATGCTATTTTGGCTCAACTTCCATATGCTTAAAAAAACTAATTCTAATGTTTTACACCAGTATCATCCACAATAAAGTTTTATTGTAATATGCCAGCATCTCCATCTACCTGAGCGACTCCCTCTTAATGGAGCTTAAGCTCTCATTGTACCTTTAAGCTCCCTTTGGAGTGAATGCGTGAGAAGAAGGAGCTCAGGCGGGTGCTGATGCGGACAATTTGCTAATAAACCTTACTGCCCAGGATATTACAGTTCTTTTTTAATAATGTGAAGCCATGTTAGCACTCACAGTACTGATATAAAGAAGGCTTTGGCTGCACCTTGAAGTGGTTTAATTGCATTTAACTTGAAATCATGTTATTGTGTACTCAAAGGATTAATTATGATAAAGAGACACAGGATTCCCCAATATTCAACCAAATGTCATAATTACACTATAATTAATGATTGTACAGAAGACACCGCATGGTAGTACTGTAGGTACTGGTAAGGTGTACCTGGATCTGTTTTAAATGAACTCTCCATGACTGCAAAGAACAGTAATGAAGTAGGCAAATGTTAAGTGAAATTGCCCTGTATAGCATCTCATTTTGCCCAGATATCAAACAAAGCTATGATCTTACTTAGGATGTATGTTTCCAATACCACAGTACAGGTTATGAATTATCTTTTTCATAATTACCACACATGCTTTATATCAGTAGAGTTTGGAACATGACATTCTGGATGCAAATGGTATTTTTTTTTTAGCAAAGAGGAATTGTTCTTCTATACATACAATCCTGGTGCAGGAGATGAAAGTGTGCAAACAAGGAGTTCAGTTTACATCAGAGAGTGTTAGCGTGAGGGTTGGGGTTACAGGAAGGATTAGTGTGTGGCTTAGTGTTAGGGTTTCCGGGAGGCTTAGTGAATGGATGCTGCTGCTTGATGTTTAAAAATGTTAGTTTCTTTCAGATTCATCTGGTCCACTGAGCACTGGCACTGATATCCTATTTCACAGTTGCTCCTATAGAACCACCCTTGTGTGTGCTATCTGGATTCATTATAGAAGAAAACGCTTGAGAGGTTAATACTACTTCAAGCTAAACTATAGAACTAGCCCAATACATAATTATAAAATCTTACATTTTTTGACACACGAACGGTGATTTTTGTGTACCGCAGAGATTTTCACAGAACATACTTATTCCACTTAGTAAGCATGGACCGTAAATAACAGCTTACAACACCTCCATTCAAGGCTATGTTTAAACAATTTAAAGTATAAGGTTCTAGAGGTCACCTGGATAATGATTGATTAAAACTAGTTGCACTGTTTGCTTAAGTGACTTTTGTGTCCATCATCTAAAGTGCATTTAGGTTAGAATTCTCAGCTCATTTTTAAACCTCACCTACCATGATCACTAGCAAATTTGTGTTTCTCCTTATTTTGTTGACATGTTCAGGTAAGATATCAGATTTAAATGCATTACATTTGTCTTTGGAATGTATTTGATTTTATTTGTTAAACTTGTTAGAAAAACAAAAACAGTTTGTTAGCATAGAACAGAAGTGATAACAATGCATTTACCAAAGATCTTTCTTTCGACTTTGTAATAGCTTAAGAAGTCAAATGGACAGTTGATTTTGAAAAAAATTGAAGGAGCAGAATGGAAAATTGTTCTTGAACGAATTAAATTCTAACATTGAATGTGGTTTTCATTCTGGAAACTTAATTCACTCCAAAGTCAAATGTTAAAGTCAAACAAAGTTTTAATCAGCATTATCAGGTGATACAGAAAGATCTTTATTAAGGTGCCCATACACTGTACGATTATCGTACGAGAATCGCGGTAAATCCCGCAATCCTACGATAATCGCAAAGTGTATGGAAGGCGTGCGACCGTTTCTACTGTACGATGGCAAGTCTTCCGTCAAACAAGCAGGCTTGAAAACCCGCAGAGAATCATACGATTCTCGGCGGGTTAGTGGCCTGCATGTTCGACAACTGCCGAACGGGCCGGTGTGCGCACACGCCTCGTTGCAGTCATCGGAAGCCCACCCCTCAGGGGGGCGGGCTTGCGATGATCGCAAGTACGATCTGCCTGTCCAAGATAGGCAGATCGTACAAGCTTTTAATTAGCTTGCAACCATCGCAATGAGAATCGCGGTAAATCCCGCAATCCTACGATAATCGCAAAGTGTATGGAAGGCGTGCGACCGTTTCTACTGTACGATGGCAAGTCTTCCGTCAAACAAGCAGGCTTAAAACCCCGCAGAGAATCATACGATTCTCGGCGGGTTAGTGGCCTGCATGTTCGACAACTGCCGAACGGGCCGGTGTGCGCACACGCCTCGTTGCAGTCATCGGAAGCCCACCCCTCAGGGGGGCGGGCTTGCGATGATCGCAAGTACGATCTGCCTGTCCAAGATAGGCAGATCGTACAAGCTTTTAATTAGCTTGCAACCATCGCAAGACAAGAGTCTTGCGATGGTTGTAAGGTGTATGGGCACCTTGGAAAACTTCTAGTGTATGGCTAGCCTAAATGTTCAGGAAGAAAAATACTGAAATGCGGGGTAATGTATATTTATTTAATCTGGATTCATTATTGAATACAAATTTAAAGTATTACTACTTTAACAAAATATAAAGTATAATAAAAGGTGAAATGTCAGGTGGGAAAAAGTCAGTTAAAATGAAAATATATTTAATTGGGTTAATATTGTAAAAACAAAATGCAGAGCAGGGTAAATCAATACATGCAGCTTTTTATAACTATGCAAAATGAATGACATTGAAAAAATTAATCGCAGCCAACTTAAAGTACAATTAAACTCTCTTTTTTTGCATATATCTACTGCCAACAAGCAGTAGATATATGCAAAAACATTACAAAAAATAAAAAAGTTACCAAAATGGTAATTACTTACCTGTGTCTCTGCCGCTCTCCCCTGGTCTGAATCTCTGAAGCTTCTAGAGCGGCTGTGCAGGATGACGGGGCAGGCGCATGCGCAGTAGAGATCTTCGGCAGGCAGACACAGTGGAGGTGAATGCATGCAGGTGGGAGCATGCACATTGGTCAGACACCATGGGACAGGAAGAGGCAGCAATCTGTGCTGGATCAGAGACCAGCTTCAGCGCTGGAGGGATTGCTGAATACAAGTGGAAGGAAGAAGATGATCGGATCAAAAGGCATCATTTAAGGTAAGTCCTTAAAGCAGCATAGGGGGAGGAAAAGATTTGTGACTTTAATGTCACTTTAACTAACTTAATAAAAAGGCCATTTAACATTGAAAGACGGCCGGACGGGAGTCCCCTGGATGCGGGTGGGCGTCTTTAGACGTCCTTCGTGCCCCGCGCACGCTCACGCGCGCCCCCTGGCACACACGTGGGAAACCACCATGATTTTAAACTGCCAGCAATGGCCGTTTACATACAAATGGTCCGGCGTCTGTACAGACGCCAGATCGCTTGTATGATGCAAGTCAGGGTCCCCCCCCTTACCTCTCCTCGGCGCCGTCCACGACGCTGCCCTCCTCCGCTCTCCTCCCCGGTCTCTGAATGCAGGAAGTGATGTATAGTACATCACTTCCGCATTCCTCTGTCACTCAGTAACCTGAGAGAAGCTGATGAAGCAGATCTGTGCTTCATCAGCTTCTCTGGGGGTCCCTAGGTGACTCCATAAAGGGGACCTGTCAATGTAATTTGTTATCACATAGGGGACTTCTTAGCCCCCCTATGTGATAACAATAAAGTTAAGTGTAAAAAAAAGAAAAAGTAAAAAAAAAAAAATTGCTCACAAAATAAATATAATTTACACACAGACTAAAAAAAAAAAAAGTCCCCCACCCCCACATAGATGCGCAAAAATGCGTTAGGTGCGCCTTCACGCATAAACAACGATTGCTCCAATTACGCCACACATGTTACATATCACAGCGAACGTCACAGTGAGAGCAATAATTTTAGGGTCAGAAATCACTGAAAACACTAAACTGATGAGCAGTAAAATCTTTTAAAACGTCGCCTATGGCTAATTTTGGCTATGGTATTTTGATGTGATTTCGTGTGCGCGCAATTTTAAGGCTTGACATGGCTTGACATGTTTGGTGTCTATTTACCCGAGGTGGCCCCATCTTTTATATTTTACCAAAAAATTGGGTAATATTAAATGTTTCCTAACATAATAAAGGGAAAACTGTTTTGTTTTTTTTAAAATATTCGGTACTTTCTTTGTTATATAGTAAAAAATAAAAAACCCAGTGGTTAAATACCACCAAAAGAAAGCTGGTATAAAATTAATTTCAGTACAGCGTTGCATGACGGAATAAACATCAGTCAAAGTACCGCAGCGCAGAATACTGAAAAATGGCCTGGGCAGGAAGGGGGTTACACCTTACCGCGATCAGCAAGTGGTTAACAACTAAGTGTATGCCTGATTAGATGGCCTCACTGACTAGATGTCACAGTTTCATGTTGCTCATTTTGGATTACAGATATAATCAGATAAATCAGTTGGGGATCTCAACTCGCTCCCATTTGCTTCCTCACAGTTTGTATATTGATTCATTTACAGCAGAGTTCTATAGTTCATGGGAGAAAATCAGAAATAATATTTGATTGTTCTATGTGCCCTTTAATTAAGTTGCTAAAGTTAAATCTCTCTACATCTACGTTAAGCTTTGAATTTAAAAAAGCCATACATTTAAAGTATCTTTTAATAACAGCACTGGCAGACTATTGTAAAAGGACCCAGACCACTGTCTTGTGCAGTGAGAATATAATCCAAGTCTATTGAATGTATATACCAGGCACTTTAACAGCAAAAAGGAAAGTGCTAAATTGTTTACAGGTTTATTTATACAGGCTATAATTGTTTACATGATATGTTTTTCCTAGAGATGCACCGATACCGATACCAGTATAGGTATTGGTGCTGATACTGGGCATTTTCATACAGTACAAGTAGTTATGAAATTGCCCTGATACTATGCGCCAGGTCGCGTGGGGGCCGCTACTATATACGGTACCAGTGTTAATGTCTGCATATGTTACAAGCGGCAACTGCCACCCATTCAAATTAACGATCGGGTGACAGCTGCTGCATGTACACGCCTGCACACCGCATGTAATCATATGTGAAAAGATTACATGCAGTTAGGAATCTGTCACTATCAATGGTTACACAATTGTTTATCCAGGGATAGTGATTGTTTTTGTAACTGCATGTAATCATATAACATACAATTACATGCAGTGTGCAGGCGTGTACATGCAGAGGCTGTCATCCGATCATTAATTTGAATGGGTGAGAGTTGCTGCATGTAAACGTCAGATTAGGGATTCCTGCTGCAGGAAAACGCTAGTTTGTGACACAGGAATCCCTAATCGCTCCTGAAATATAGGTGTGAATGGGGCCTAATATACACACAGAAAGATGCAACCCCCCCACACTAATACACCCCCCTGCACAAATAAAATAATACACTCCCCCCC